GAGCAAGCAACTTTGGTTACAGCAATACAGGTGTTCACAAGGCGGCCTGGGCAAGTTTTGCTGAGTATCATTTGGTACCCCCACCAAGCTGAAACGTACCGTTTGTGGTCGCCTGTCTTCATTTCTCACGCTAACGATACACTGAATGGTGAAAAGATAGAGCTCAAACATTGACGAAACCAGTTTGGGATGGGCCACGCATTCTAAAGCAATTCAGAAGTTTCAATATGTTTAAGACTGGTCAGCGACTCGCCCTAAGCCAGGCCTTATACAGATCAGTGTTTTATCCTTCTAACAGAGCCTATAGCGAGTAACCGACCTCGAAGGATTGGGTAATTTGGCTGGATTCGTTCTAAAGCTGTTTAATTTGGTAAGATTCGATGTAGAACTTGATTTCCTCTCGCGTGGGAAGCGGCGCTGCCTATCGTTACAGTATTGTCGCCGTGGGCCATGAAAATGTCATGCCTTATACCGCCTCAAATAGCTTTCAGTAATATCATATAAGAAAATTTCTATGATTGAAGGTTCTCAAGCTGCATATCGTGCCAGCTAAGGAGTTAACATCTGATGAGATCACCAACGATACGATCGTTTCCACTGTCGACAATATTCGCCAACTCTACTTTATCAAAGGGGAATGGCCAAAAAACAATATCAGTAAGTCAGTTTGTTTATCAGACGCTCAGTTAACGGATGTAAATTCTTTCAGTCGATTGAATGGGATACAGGATTTTTGAGTTATTGTGTGTCCTGAGCTTCGAGACATATCCTCTTCCAAAGGTCGGGTCCGTGGAGTGGATGCGTAAGAGGGGGCTCAGCGGCACCCTCCCTAGCAGTGAAGTGTGGCAATCGAATCGCTTCCACTAACTGCTTTAGCTCTACCCATAAAAAAGAAAGATTACGGCTGATATTGTCGCAATCAGGCAGGGTGGTGTCAAGGGGAATTTATCAGCCCAGCCGCTATGTAATCACCACTGGTTGTTTTCTTCCTGAATCGACCCCCTGAGTGCTTTCAATGGAGAAGTGTATGTGCGTATTAATGTCAGGACCCATCGAGCGTTGGGGTTTTGGTCGAGTCCGTACCACCCTCGCCCTCCGTGGCTTAATACGACCCCCTTCCCTTTTACGGTTTATTGTTTTTCGCTTTTTTATATACGCTTTCCGAAACATTTGGAAGGAAAGCAATGCTGAGCTAGTAATCTCCTCAGACTTCTAGGAGTTCATGAGACGGATGCTTTGAGGATTCTTTGGGGGAAACTTCGAGTTGCTCGAGAAACCCGTTTCCTACGTACCATTCAGAAGGGATTTCTTCGTGGGACCGAATTAGGCAATGGGCGGTTTAGCGCCCATTAGCTTCATACCTGGACGCGCCATGCATTGGGCTCCCACGCAGGTGGTGGGATGGTGCAACTTCTACAACGTCTGTCCACGCAAGGAGATGTGTTCGTAGGGCTCAGAAAGGCCCAAGGACTTGTTTCAGGTTGTTCTGTTCAGTCGTCTTCGTCCCTACGAAATAGTTACTGCAATGACTCCAAAATTTGTCAACTCAGGGGGACAGTTTATCTGGTGGAATGTCAAGGATGCGGGCAAAAATATGTGGGAGAAACTGGGAGGCCCCTATACAAACGGATCGACGAACACCGGAGGGCGCTGGGAAATCCACCTTCTTACCCTAATAGCAGTTTCTCCAGGCATCGCATAAAGGAGCACGCTCACCAAGAACCCCCTCTTTAATCGTCAAAGTACTACACCGCTCGGTAGAGAGCGCAATGGAAAGGAAAATATTGGAGGCCTTGGAAATAAAACGGCTACTACCCCAAATAAACAATAGGGAGGAACTACGTGACATTATGCAAGTCATAATGTGATCGCGTCACATCCCACTATTTAAGGGTGTGGTTAGGGTGGGTTGGCTAATTTGCCGGGATATTTGGGTAAGTGGTTTGGTGGGGGAGGAGTCCGTGCGGGTTGTATTTCTGTAGGTACATATCCAGCGAAAACAAGCTAAATAATTTCAGGCCTGACGAAGGTGCTACGCACCGAAATATCGCAAGATAAGATATTTTAAAAAAACTTTTGAGACTTTTGCTGTCTTTTGAGTTTTTTGAATAAATTTTTGGAGTTTCACATTGTTATTACACATTCAGATAAGAAATGAGACTCCGGGACAGCACCATACTCCTACAAAATTGTGTTAACTTACTAATAATTTTAGTTAATCATTTTATTTTTTTTGTAGTGCTAGTGACACCTCCGTCGTGCCGTCATAAAGTAATAGCTCGGAAAAAGATAGTCTGATCCTGAAAATCGAGCCTTGGACAGTGCGCATTTTGCATGCGCCGCCTTGAAGTGTCTCACTTCCGTTTTGTCCTTCAAGTACTACCTAAAGTTAGCTCCATTTCAGCATACTACGTGATCGGTGGCGGTATTAAGACGGCAATATTTCAAGACAATGTTGCCGCTACAAATGGGATCGTCCATTATATTGAAAGGGTACTTGGCGTACCGTATCAATCGCTATGGGAAATTATCAGGAACGAAACACGACTACAGTAAGTTTTCTTGTATTGTTGAAAATAATACACATTGTTAGCGCCGTTCGGCGACGGGGATGGGTATTTTGGACTTTTATTGCTTAACTAGTTCCGGTTTACGAGTCTCACATTGATGACGCCTGTGAGCTCTCGTGAAGCTTTAGCAAACTCAGCCATCATGGCAAAACCTGTAGCCGCAAGAAAAAGCTCTCCAGATGGTTGAGCACGTCTACGAGAAGTAGCAGCAGTGCAAAAGGCTCCCCTCCGTTGGCGAACTGCCCCCACACTGTTTCTTCAGTGACTCGGACTAATTACAACACTTGTCTGCTTCCTCAGACTTCTGTCATTCTTCAGCATATAAGTGCGGAAACGATGCGGCGCGCGTGAAATCGATGCTCATTCCAAGGTACATTTCGTGGTAATCTGTGAGTTGGGAGTATAAGAAGAGGAACTCCGCGGCCGTTTGAGGTGCCACCCGAAACTGCGTGTCGAGCGTGAGAAGAGCTTGTGATAGAACCCCGCCCTTGGCAAAAACAACGATGAGCTAAACTCTGCTGCTTCGGTCAACACAGCTTTTCCCGCCTACGCGATATTGTGGAGAGCGGAGCGAAGGCAGGACTACAATAGGCCGATCCCACTAGAGAACACAAGGACGAAAAGAACGCTAGAAAGAGCTCTTCGGGGACTTCCACGGCCTAGCGAGTTCCTGCTGCAAGATGGCGTCGGTGGCTGCTTCCAGAAGCGTAAGGCTGCGTTTATACTTTGCGGCAGCGTAGCGTAGCGCTTCCAGCGTACGCCAGCGGCAGTGCCGAAGAGAGGATGCATATCGATCTAGCTTCACCAGCGGCACGCTGGCGTACGCTAGCGTGCGCTAGCGGCACGCCAGCGTACGCCAGCGGCACGCTAGCGCACGCTGGCGTAGCGAGGGCACGGGAAGCATAGCTATCGATCTAGCTTCACCAGCGTTTCTCCAGCGTTTTCCCAGCGCTTCCAGCGACGGGGCTAGAGAGGGGCTAGAGAGCACTGGACGGAGGAGAGTACAAAGTACTCTCCTCCGTTCAGTGCTCTCTAGCCCCTCTCTAGCCCCGTCGCTGGAAGCGCTGGGAAAACGCTGGAGAAACGCTGGTGAAGCTAGATCGATAGCTATGCTTCCCGTGCCCTCGCTAGCGCGCAGCGTGCCGCTGGTGACGCTGGTGAAGCTAGATCGATATGCATCCTCTCTTCGGCACTGCCGCTGGCGTACGCTGGAAGCGCTACGCTACGCTGCCGCAAAGTATAAACGCAGCCTAAGGCCACTGCGTATGCGGCTAAGCGAAGTTCTAGATCGTCATCTCCGTAGAGTTTTGGGTCCACCGTGGATGGCATTCGCGGAATACAAAAGCACACATAACTGAGGATGACCCGTATCAGTACAAGTAGCTCTCTCCAAGTATCGATGCTCATAACCGTGCATATGTTACGCGGTGTTGCGCTTGTTACGTGGTGTGTGCCTAGTGGCTATGTCTCTGTCACCTGAGCTTGACTATTCTTTCACAGTGCGCCTCTGCATCTCATTCAACTCATGCTCTTCTAACGCTCAAAAGCAACTGGGCTTTACTGGGATCGTTTTCGGTAGTTTCTTCCGCTCCCTTCTTCATCTGTTGATCACTGGCACCAGAAATCTTTTTTGAACTCCAACACGGTTTGCAACCGCGGAATGTGTCTTTAAAATCGAGTTAGTTGCTTGAAGTGTAGCCCTGTCACCCCTTCTGTCATTTTTGTAATTCCATCTGTCAACTTTTGAACTTAAAGGCAACGCCCACGTTCATTTGATGTTCCCAGCCCTCTCTGGATATCATAGCCCTCCCTATGAGGATGCAGTATGTACTAGTTTTGCATCTCAAAAAGGCGAGAGGATAGCGCCTTCGCTAGTGAAGAGTCGACCGCCCCGCCCACCTGGCGACCACGACGCCCAACTTCATTTCTAATGGTTGCCGGATGGTGCGGTTGTTCTGCTGCTAACTCTCTTCAATTCGAATGGTGAGAAAGAGCTCGTGCAACCACGGCTTCTCTTCGCCTTATGAACTTACAACCTCAGTTCCGCCTGAGGTTCCATATAGATCATTTTCCATGATTTCTTTTTGATTTTTCTTCACTAATTGGTTACATGCTATTTGTCATTACTATCTGAGCCGCATACTCATCAAATTTGCACGCGGGCTCAGCTTTTAATTGGTTGTCATTGAAACCCTTCCGAGTATCTAAAAATCATTGTAACTGTTTCCATGACAATTTTCAGGAGATCGTACGAAATGCTGAGAAATCTTCAGCTCCGCTACTCTCTCGATCCGTGGCAGGTGCTAACACCGGAGCAGAACTTCACGTTTTTCGTGCCCACAAACGAGGCTTGGGACTTGAAGGTTTGTTTCTTCTTCGCATGGTTTTGAGAGGATATGGCTGCTTACTCGCCTCCATATTTCGGAGATGCTGAAGTAAGCGGCTACGTTCTTCATCTGAAAGTAGAATGCATTTTCCGGGGCACTCTGCGCACTATGAATGTAGAGACATCCCAAATATCCGCTCCATCGAAGTTACAGTGCTTTTCGGGAAAGAAAGCTGGGGTTACTAATAAAATCCATAAACCGAATAAGCTGGACCGTACATTCTCCATACTCTGCCCGTGCTCTCCTCAAAATG